TATATAATAGTATGTGAGTTTTAACTTGTGGAAAAACTTTGTACTCGACTTTGCGATAGATCAGAGAACTGATTTCGCAGTGATAATATCGTTAAATACAATACAAAAATACATTTAGGCATCACTTTTTTAGATTCAGATGCTAGTTATGTTTAACATCACATATTATAATACTCAACGTATCGTGTCTATAATGTCCCGAAGTAAGACGTATGACAGTATGCTCTTCTGGGCATATAGAAATGTAACGTTCGCCTGAGCGCGCCATTTTGCACGCGTTATATATATTTTTCTATATCGCAAATATTCCGGACTGTAAATGTTCCTTTCTTACTTTGAGAAGTCTAACTAACAAGAAATTAATATATCAAAATTCATCAACGCTTCGTCATGTTCCTCCATATTTGTTTAAGTAGGTCTGCTTCGCCACTTTGACTAATTGATCGTACATACCTGGACCAGTCTCCTTTACTAACGAAGTAAATTGACTATAGCTATTTTGCAGTAATAGATGAGGGTGATCATATTCCTGCAAAAAAAAAAAAAAATACGGCATTGGCAATCGGAAAATATATATTACGATATTTTTTTTTATTATAACTCAATTACACAGAAAAAAAGATTTCTTTATATTTATTATTTCTATTTGTTTGATTTACATCTGCTCTGCTTCAAGTAATATAATAAGTAAATATCAAGCTATAATAATTTTACATAAAATATTTATTTAAAAAGATGTTGTTTCGTTGCACTAAATCATATTATTTGACTGAAACAATTTATCCTGATAAAAGAAAATATAAACAGAATGATATAAAAAAATGATGTAAAAATTTAAAGAAACAGAGATTTTTTGATAATTCAATTATGCCGTCAAAGTTGCAAGTTTTTGATCGCAATACAAAAACAGAAGAAAATTAAAAAAAAAATTTACTTACAACCATACGACCCTTATCCATCACTAGGACCTTGTCGCTGTCCATTATAGTGTTCAATCGATGCGCCACTGTGAGCATCGTGCACGTTGCAAACTTCTTTCTGATTGTTCGTTGAATTAATGCATCGGTATGCGGATCTACGTTCGCCGTCGCTTCATCCAACATTAATATACGATTGTTTCTCAAGATAGCTCTCGCTAAACATACTAGCTGCCTCTGCCCGACGCTAAAATTGCTGCCTCTGTCAAAAACGCGACTTTCTAAGCCGTTCCCAGAAGTAACAACAGCTTCTTTCAACTCAACCTGAAGTACAAAAATAATTATTATAAAGAGAATAGTATAAAATGCATACTTATTCAACTTACTTATTATGTACATGTAATTGTGTATGTGTAATTTTAGAATCTTAAAACTTGGAACATTGAATTCTGAGGAGATTGAGATGAGTAGAGTTGAGAGTTTAGATAACTCGATAAATTTTGAAGCTCGACTTGAAACTATTGAATCTTTGGGTGTCACAGCACATTATATTTCCGATAATAAATACGATTTTATATTTAAATTAGAAATTATTCGAACCTCTTCGAGTGCTTCCCATAAATCCATGTCAGGAAATTCGTTGAAGGGATCTAGATTACGTCTCAGAGTACCTGAGAACAAAACGGGATCCTGGGGAATAATGGAGATTTTACGTCGCAAATCTTCCAAGGCTATCAAACCCGTATCCGTGCCGTCAATTTCGATGATTCCCTCCACTTTCGCTAATCGGAATAAAGCTGATATCAACGAGGATTTTCCAGCGCCTGTTCTTCCCACAACACCGATCTGTATAATAATCCCATCATTCTTAATACATCTCAATTATTTCTCAATTTTATATATTACATTTTATATATTACATGCATATATAATAGTAAAAATATAGATATAATTTTCTTTATTTATATCACTTCATTGTGATAAAACTTTTACTTTACAAAATTAAATTGAATACAACTAAAAGATGTTTTTATCTCTTAATGATCGTCATAAATTTATTTTAAGAAAAAAAAGAAATCGGTATAATTTCGGTAAAATATCTTGAATTCCCAAGAGAAATTAAGATTCTTCAATCTTTTGAAATAAATTACTTTCATTTTTTGTTCTCTGCAAAATCTCCTGATGATTGTCAAATATTGGTACACAAAATTTCTTTTCATAACATCATACCTTCTCCCCGGGATAGATCACAATGTTTAAATTCTTGAGGACAGGCGGTTCCTCGTCTGCATAGCGCATATAAACATTCCTGAATTTTATGCAACCCTCATCGGGCCAAGTGTTTGATGCGTTGGACGGCAATGCCAGACTTTTATCCTTCTTCTTCACATACGCCCCCCGGTCTCGTAGATTCGGTTCTGCCGGAAGCTGAATGTATTCGAGTACACGTTCCACTGCCATCATTTGGTTCGCCACCTCCGCACTTTGTCGCATACCCCATTGAATTATTCCGGTCATCGCCATTACTTGAGTAATGGCCAAACCGACTTCTCCACCGGAAAATGCTGAAAGATGCGCATCTCATTTAATTTTTCTGTTTTCAATCTTATATAGATATATTTCTAGATGTATCAATTAGATTCTTTAATTGCAATGTTCTACTTTATATAATAAATATTTTCTTATAATAAATAATCTTTTTCAAATCTTCCAAACACATTCAATTATTTAATAATTCTAGCATAATTTGGAGATTTTTTAAAAAATGATAATAA